GGCCCCTCACTTAACCCAGGTCTCTCAACCCGGACACTTGACATTTGGGACTGGATAACTCTTTGTCATGGGGCTGTCCTGAGCACTGTAGGATGTTTAGTGGCCTCTCCAGCCTCTACCCACCGGATACCAGGAGCACCCCCTGCTCCCCAGTTATGCCAACCAAAGATATCTCTAGACATTGCCGACATTGCCGAGTGTCCCCTGGAGGGGGGATCTCCCAGGTGGAAGACCTCTAGCCCTAATGCCTCCGGGTGGGCCCTGGGATAGGCGTAGGTCACGTGGGACAGTCATCCCTGCCCTGCTGGTGACCAGGACCAGGGGTGAGGACCAGGTGATGAAACAAGACCAGTTCTGATTCTCATCCCTCCTCGGGATGTTCTGCAGCCTGCCTCTCTGGACCCTCTTCACCTGAAGGGGGCTCCAAGGTTTGTCCCCCACAGGCCTCCCTCCAAGTCTTTCCCTTGCTCTTTGAGCAAAGAAATAAGCCACTTACTTGCCTGCTGCCGCAACACGCCCCTTTATTCATTTTCCCCTGGCCTGAGGGAGTGAAAAGGAGTTCCTCTACTATTTCTAAGAGAAAGCCAGAGGGCCTGGGTGGGAAGAGAGAGGGTGGGGGCAAAGGGAGAGGAAGGGGGAAGAATGCCCAGATTCCCACTGCACACACCCTCTTCCCTGCCCCCAACCCTGATCCTTCCAGAACCAGGAAGTTCTGGTGCACCCACCCTCAGGGGCCCCTCAGGAAGAAGGGGGCAGTCACTCCCCCCCCTCCCCGCAAGAACCTCCCAATTATCCCACCTGATCTGGGTAGCCTCTCTCCCCGGCCCCTCCTCCCTGCCTCTATGGCCCATGAAGCTGAAGAGGGATAGTCTGAGAGGGGTCCTCTCAGAGCTCCCTGCAGGCGAGTGCTCACTTCTGACTCCTCGATGCCCAGCACAGACTGAATGTTCCATGAAGGTGGCTGAGATGAGTTACGGTTTGCTCTAAGGAGCTCACACCGAGACAGACAGACACACCGAGATCCCAACATGCTCCTGCATCCTTAGGATCATTGAGTCCTAGGAGGGAGGAGGGCTGCTCTATGATCCCAGTAGGAACTCAAGAAATACCATTTACTCAGCCAGGTCAGTAGGGGAAAGGCCACCATCATCTTCTGAGCACCTACTGAATGCCAATTCATGTACGTTGCATCATTTCATCCGGAAACACCCTTCAAGGTAGGATATGGCAGCCTCTTTATGCAGATAAGGAAATCAAGGCTCAGAGACGTAAAGCAACTTGCCCGTGGTCACACAGCTACCCACTCTGGTTCAGTGCAGCCCAGCCCCTCTGCTAAAGAGAAATCAGCTGCCTTCTTGACCCCTCTTCCAACACCTTGTCCAGACTCTGCCCCTGCACCGTGGCTCCCTCCTCGTGAGGCCACGAGTGATGGGTAGGAGTTCGGACCAGCCCGCCCCTGCCTGACTGCTCCCCACCAGGTGTGCAGCCTTGAAGAAGCTCAACCTCTCTGGGCCTTGGTTCTCCCGTCTGTAGCAGGGAGACAGAACAATAATAAAGCTAGCCATCAGGGTTGTTGGTGTGAGGCTCCCCGGAGCTAATGCACGGAAAGCATTTAGAACCACGCCAAGCTTTGCGCTGGGTCCTCAAACACCGTTAACTAGTATTTTTATAACTGCTCTGTAAGTGCTAGTCCCTTTTACAACTGGGGGAGATTCCTGATATCTTCTCATCACAAACCGTAGGCTCCGTGGAAGAAGCCAAGGACGGGATCTCCCGAGTCTGTCCAGCAAACTCACCCTAATCCTTACGGCCAGTGAACTTTTCTCAGTGGGGGCCAGCAGACTCCAGGCCCCAGGGACCCCAAGGTTACTCCAGAGAAGCCTTTATGCGGTGGCCAGGGCCTTTGCTCATGGCCTGCACCAACGCTCTGGCTTCCCTGGGCTGAGGCGAGCTCTTTTTGGTCCCCAGCCCAGGCATGGCCGATGGGCAGTGCTGGATTGGAGTCTGTAGGGTGCACCATTTACCAGGCATCTGGGGAGAACTCTCCCTAATGGAATGGAGGGTCCCAGGGATGAGCCACATGCCCATCTATCCCTTCACAGGGAGAAACTAACATGCATGACCCTCCACCCTTCTAGGAGCACTGGGGCACATCATTCAAAGCATCTAGTAAGCACCTACTATGTGCTCAATGCAGCAAGAAACAAAACAGACAAAAATTCCTGCCCTCATAGGCTTTCATTCTAGTGAGGGAGACAAATACAAAAATAATAATAAATATACGTCTGGCCCCTGACGGATAGTCTGTCAGGGACGAGAGTGGGACAGGGAGCTGGGGGGCAGGGCAGGAGACAGAAAACATAGATTTGCAAACGTAGATGAAAAATCCCTACAGTGCAATGCAAGGCATTCATTCATTCATTCATTCATTCATTCATTCATTCATCCCCTGAAAGCATTTCTGAGCCCCTGCTGGGGCCAGGTGCTATGTGAGACAGAGGGAACCCAGTGGTGGTCAGAGAAGCCCCCACCTCCACCCTTGAGAGCTCACAGACAAGCCAACTCAGAACCGGCAGGCAGCGATGGGTGTCCCAACAAAGGAAAGTGCTGGGGGTGGGGGCTGCCCCAAACCCTGCCTGGGCACATTAGGGGAGGGTTTCCCCAAGGAGGTGGCATTGAGCAGGGCCTAGAAGTCTGAGCAGGACTTTCCCCAGTGGACGAGGTGTGTGTGTGGGAGCAGGAATGATTCCAGTTGGAGGCACCGAGGCAGGAGCTGTCCAGTGCGGCTGAGAAAAGGCTCCCTGTGCTGGAAGGTTCTGGGCCTCTCGGTGGCAGCCTGGTTTGGGTTTGTCAGGCTGACAAGGGGAGACCATAGGGGCATTCCTGGGCCTAGGGAGGTCCCAAGGAGACACCGCTGTGGGACAGGAGAATGGGTGTGCTTGGTTGGGGTAGTGGGAAGAGTCAAGGGGCATCAGAGACGTTTCGCCACAAATGGCCCATAATCCCCTTAGTTGATGAAGATGGGGAGATGGTGCTATTCCACAGGACTTCCCGCTGCGGAGAGGCACCTCCCTCCAGGGGGACTGTCAGGGTAAGGTCACGGGCCTTGTCTGGGGTCTGCAGTCAGACTCCGTCCCATGCCCACCCCTCACCTGTGACCTTGGGCATGCTCCTTGACCTCGGGACCTCTGCTTCCTCTTCGGGTAATTGAGAATATTGCATGGATCTTTCTGGAGGCTGGTGTGCCTGGCGCAGAGCAGGCACTCAGTGCTGTTAGCTTTGCTACTGTAACCCTTCTCCTTGTCTGCCAACTCGAGGGAGGACGAATCACTGAGACCCCCTGCTCTCGCCTCGGTGGAACTCAGCCCTCTGTGGGCTCAGCCTGGGTCTCAACCTCTAGACAGCCTAGACCCCTCCTGCCCCTCCCTGTAGCTGCCCCTTCTTTTCCCCACTCTGATTCCTCCCACACCGCGGCACCAACTGGGCTCTGTTTAACTCAGACCACACCCTTCTACTACTCTCTGTCTCTATGTAGATTGGCCTATTTGGGGCATTTTATATAAATAGAATCATGCAGTCTGTGGTTCTTTGTGACTGCCTTCTTTCACTTGGCATCATGTTTCTGAGGCTCATCCATGTTGTAGCATGGGTCAGTACTTCATTTCTTTTTTTTTTTTTTTTTTGAGAGACAGAGCGAACACGCGCGCGTGCACACACATACACGTTCACGAGCATGCACAAGTGGGGGAGGGGCAGAGGGAGAGGGAGAGAGAGAATCTCAAGCAGGCTCCACGCTCAGTGCAGAGCCCTCACGACCCGAGACCATGACCTGAGCCAAAATCAAGAGTCAGATGCTTAACGGACTGAGCCACCCAGGTACCCCCAACACTTCATTTCTTTTTGAATGATATTCTTGTATGAATGATATTCCAGTATGAATGATATTCCATTGTATGTATGTTTCTCGTCTTACTGGTTCTTTTATCAGCTGATGGAACTTGGCGTTTCTTCCCACTTTTTGGCTATGGTGACTAATGCCACGAACATTTGTGTACAAGTTTTTTATAGGGACATACGTTCTCCTTTCTCTTGGGTATATACCTAGAGGTGGAATTGCTGGATCAAATGGTAATGATTCTATGTTTAACTGTTTGAGGGATGGCCAGGCTATTTTTCAAAGTGGCTGCACCCTTTTATATTCCCACCAGCAGTGGATGAAGGTCCCAATTTCTCCACATCCTCTCTGACCCTTGTTATTAACAGTCTTTTTTATTATAGCCATCCTAGTGGTGGATCATTGCGGTGGGTTTGCATTTGCCTGGTGACTGATGGTGTTGAGCATCTTTGTGTATCTTCTTCAGAAAAACTATCTATCCAGATCCCGTGTCCACTTTTTTTAACTGGGTTATCTGTCTTTTCATTGTTAAGCAGAGTCCATTTTCATGGATCGAGGAATGGCGGCTCACGTAAGCCAGAACCGCCTCAGAGCCAAGGGCGTGGGCCAACACCACAATGCCCAGAACTACAATAACCAGAACTATGAGGACCTGCAAGCAGCCTGTCTGAGGAGGGGAGAACTGTTCGAGGACTCCTTTTTCCCCGCCGAACCCAGTTCCCTGGGCTTCAAGGATCTGGGCCCCAGCTCCAAAAACGTGCAGAACATCTCCTGGCAGCGGCCTGGTGTGGGTATTGGGAGGGGAGGCGTGGATCCCTTGTCGGAGTGGGAGGACTGTTCGTCATGAGGCCCCTGTCACTTTGAAATCTCCCGTCCCCCGACCCTCTATCCTGACCCTGGATCAGGCCTGGGGACAGTTCTGGCCATGCTTACGCCAAACCTCTCAGAGAACCCCTGGGAAAATCCCTCACTGACCTTGGCTGTCCCATCGTACAACTCTGCCGAGCCGGTCCAGTGACCTTCCCCTTCTGGTGCCATGTTTTCCCCTAGAACTTGGAGGTGGACGTCATTCCCCAGAAATGGTGAAAGGGAGGTTAGGAGGGGGATGTCTGGGCGCCCTAAAATCCTTATTCCTTCTCTGCAGCAAATCACAAGCAATCCTCACTTCATTGTGAACGGGATCAGTCCAACAGACATCTGCCAAGGCGTACTTGGTGAGTGGGGAGCAAGAAAGCTGGTGTGGAAGGAGGGGGTGAATAGCGGAAGAAGGCTGAGGTAGGGGGAGTGCCAGGGTGTCTTTTGAGGCTGGGGAGCTGGGACCCCCTAGGTTCAGACAATCTCTCCTCTTTCCCTGCCCCTCCCCTTCTTTTTTTTTTTTTTAAAGATTTTATTTATTTATTTGAGAGAGAGAATGAGACAGAGAGAGAGAGAGCACGAGATGGGGGAGGGTCAGAGGGAGAAGCAGGCTCCCCGCCGAGCAGGGAGCCCGATGCGGGACTCGATCCCGGGACTCCAGGATCATGACCTGAGCCGAAGGCAGTCGCTTAACCAACTGAGCCACCCAGATGCCCCTGCCCCTCCCCTTCTGAGGAGAGGGTAGTGAGGCTGCCAGGTATATTCTCCCTGCTCCACCCCCACCAGTGTGATCCCAGCCCTGGCGGCCGCTCTGGGTCTGGAAGTAAGCTGGGTGGTCTATCAGTTACCCATCGCCACATAATCAATTGTCCCCAAGACTTAGTGATTTAAAGCAATGACAAACACCTATCATCTCAGTTTCTGTGGGTCAATAATTCGTAAGGAACAGAGCAGATGGGGTCTGACTCAGTCTCTCATGAGGCTGCCATCAAGATATCAGGGGGAGCCCTGTTCATCTGAGGGTTTCACAGGAGCTGCAGGATCCGCTCCCAAGATGGCACGCTCACGGGCCAGGAGACCTCCGTTCCCTGCTTCGTAGGCTTCCCCGTAGGACCGCCTGAGTGTCCACACAACCTGCTAGCTGGCTCCCCCAGACAGGGTGATCCAAGAGAGAGAACAAAGAGGAAACTGTCATGTCTTCTACCGCCTCAGGAGAACACACACACGGTCCCCTCCACCACATTCCATTTGGTTGAAGCAAGCCTGGAATCTGGCCCACGTTCAAGGGGAAGGAGTTAGGCTCTGCCTCCCGAGCGGGGGAGAGTCAAAGAGCTTGAGGACCTATTTTTTAAGCACCTGCAGAAAAAAAAAAAAAAAAAAAAGCGCCTGCAGGTGCCAGAACTTGCTCCGTCTCACGTATCAAATAAAGGAGCACTAAGTTCCTCGGCCCACTCTCCCACGGGCTCCTGTGACAGCCCCAAGGGATAGCTTCCTCCCCGAGGAAGGGCTCCTCCAAACCCTTCATTGCATCTTCAGGGGTAAGACCAGGGCGGCCTTCCTCTGGGGCTGAGTTCTGTCGTATCTGTGGCAGAGAAAAGCGCAGGTTGTGGGCAGGGCAGAAGCCAAGGACACCTCAGGCCTCACGTCTGCCGCTGTGGCTCACTGCGCTGCAGGAGGAGAGCTGGCTTCCTCCTGGTTAGGTGTCCTTTTGGCAATGGAGGATTGGAGTGTCCTTAACCACCCCCCCCCACCCTCTGCCTCCCCCCCAAGGGTACCCCAGGCAGCCACGAGGCCACTGGTGATCACAGACGCTTTCCCGGTGCCCTCAGCCTGAGCCTGGCCTGGAACACACTCAGGGTACCACCCTGCGCTCGGCCCCACCCAGCAAGGTCCGAGGTACCCAGGAGAGAGATTTCGATGGATGACCTTGGCCTAGGGATACTGCCCCTAGGCCCCATCAATGCCTAGCCCCAGGGACCCAGCCGGGGTACGGACTAAACCCTTTGGGTCTCCAGTATGATGTGGGTGGCATCAGGGAGAGATGTCTTGATTGCTACACCGATGTAATCATAGAGTAGAAGTAGAAGGCAGGGGGCATGGGGAGAGGTGACTGGATTTGTTCAAGGGATGGGAGAAAACCGGCTCTCTCCACAAAGCAGATCTCAGGGTAAGGAGCAAGACGAAGGCCAAATACTTCCTCCCCAAATCCAAAAACCGAAGCATCTGGCTCTAATTTGTGAATCTCTTACCTAATAGAAAAGGTAAAGAGGCTCACCCCCAGAGCCTGTTCCTTCAGCCCTGTTTCTCCCTACTAGACTCCTTCCTGAACAATCCTTAGTGGGACGGCCAGAGGAGGCGCAGCTCTGTGGGGGAGGGGCCACAGAGCCCGTTCCTGCTCCTTTAGGGCTTGGATTCTGGGACCCAGGCTCACAAAATGGGAGGGAGAGGCAACCCCCTTCCTGTCTTTCCAGGGGACTGCTGGCTGCTGGCTGCCATTGGCTCCCTTACCACGTGCCCCAAACTGCTGTACCGTGTGGTACCCAGGGGGCAGAGCTTCAGGAAGAACTACGCTGGCATTTTCCATTTTCAGGTGAAGGCTGATTTGGAAGCCGGAGTTGTTTTGTGGTGTGTGTGTGTGTGTGTATGTGTGTGTGAGAGAGAGAGAGAGAGACAGAGACAGAGAGAAAGAGGGGAGGGAGAAAGAAGAAGAATTATATGTGCTTTGAAGTTACCTTTTTTCTTTTCTTTTTGAAAAATGACTTTTATTAGGGTGGGCTTTTGTCTAATTATCAGAGAAATATCTGCTCACTAAAGAAATCATGTAAGCTAATTTTTTAAAGCCCCAAAAGAAAATAATCGTTATCAGTTCGTGGCTCTCCTCCTGCTTCTGTCTCTCTCTCTCTCCCTCTCTGTCTCTCTGTCTCTTTCTCTTGGTAGAAATGTGTGCATGCGTGTGTGTGTGTGTGTGTGTGTGTTTATGTGTGTATATGACATTAGGAGTCAACAGTCAGTCAGGGTCACATAATTTTTGTAATCCGCTCTTTAAGTTTAGTGCCATGGACAAATTCCCCACATCACAAAACTATTTCTTAGAATCACAAGAGTTTTTTAAAACCTCAGAAATCCTAAAGCCCAGCCAAGGTCAAAAGTGGGTGGTGTCCCTCCGGAGGCCCTGGCAGAAACTGGAGTTGAGGCTGGGGGCGAGGTTCAGGCTTTTCATTGCCTCTCACCCACGCCTCGGCCGTTCTGGGGAGTGGGCGCTCTGCCGCGGGCGTGTGGCTGATCCTGGCCACCAGGAGGTGCTCGCATAACACAGCTCTTACACAAGGAGTGTGTGTGCGCGCGTGCGGGGGTGGGTGGGTGTGCTCGTGGGAGGGGGCTTGGCGCATGTGTGCACGCATGTGCTTGGAGGAAGGCCTGCGCCACACAGATGCCCTAAGCCCCACTGAGGTCCACCTTGCCGCCCACAGATTTGGCAGTTTGGGCAGTGGGTGGACGTGGTGGTGGACGACCGGCTGCCCACCAAGAACGGCAAGCTGGTGTTCGTGCATTCCGCTGAGCGCACTGAGTTCTGGAGTGCCCTGCTGGAGAAGGCATATGCCAAGTGAGTGCCCCAAGCTGGGCTTGCCTCCAAGCCTGCCCTGACAGCTAGGGGGGCAGCTGGAATCAGGGGAGAAGGCAGAGGGAGGTCAGGGCATCCCTTCCTTCCCTCCCCACGCCCTCCCATGTCCAAGCTGAACTGTCTATACCAGGGCGCAAAAGTGCCCTCTCTGTGCCCACAGGCTGAACGGGTCCTATGAAGCACTGTCGGGGGGCAACACCGTGGAGGGCTTTGAGGACTTCACGGGGGGCGTGACCTATAGCCTCCAACTCCAGAAGCCCCCTCGGAACCTGCTGAGGATGCTTAGGAAGGCCGTCGGGCGATCCTCCCTCATGGGCTGCTCCATCGAAGTAAGCCATACTTGGTCCTGCCTCAGGGCCTTTGTACCTGCTGTGGCTTTCACCTAGAAGGTTCTTTCCCCAGAGAGCTGCATGACTAGCTCCTCCTCATTCACATCTCAGTTCAAATGCCCCTTCCTCAGGCTTCTCTTCTCTACCTCTCAATCTAAATCAGTTGCTCCTAACCTCATTTGCTCTTTGTTTTTTATTTTCCCTTCAGCATTCATGGTGCTCAGTCATGGTCTTACTTATCAGTATTGTTATTCACAGCCTGTCTTCTCCCGGCTGTTTCAGTCAGCGAGGGCAGTGACTTCTCTCATTCACTGCTGGATCCCAGGACTTAGGGTGCTGCTTGGCATGAAGTAGACGCCCAGCAAATAAATATTTATTCAAATAAATAAATGAACCCGGAGCGCAACCATATGACCCTGCAGTTGCATTCTTGGGCTTTTATCCCAGAGAAATGAAGACTTATGTCCACACAAAAGCCCGCACACAAATGTTCACAGGGGCTTTATTCATAGTAGCCAAAAACTGGGAACAGTCTAGATGTCTTCAGTGAGTGAATCATTAAACTGTGGTGCATATATGCCGTGGGACATGACTCAGCAATAAAAGGAAATGAACTATTGATACACGCAACTACTTGGATGAATCCCAAGGGAATTAAGCTGAATGAAAAAACCAAGGAGTTCCATTTCCCTGACAGTCTTGAAATGATAAAATTATTTTAAGATTTTATTTTATTTCGTATTTTTTTTTTTAAGAGATACACAAATAGAGAGAGAGAGCGCGCGTGTGCGAGTGGGGGCTGGGGATGGGGGTGGAGGGGCAGAGAGAGAGGGAGAGAGAGAATCCCAAGCGGGCTCCGCACTCATCACAGAGCCCGACTCGAGCTCGATCTCACCACCCTGAGATCATGACCTGAGCCGAAGTCAAGAGACGCTTAATCGGCTGAGCCACCCAGGTGCCCCTTTTAAGATTTTATTTTTAAGTAATCTCTGCACCCAACATGGGGTTCAAACTCACAACCCTGAGATCAAGAGTGGCACACTCCACCATCTGAGCCGGCCCGGTGCCCCGAAATGACAAACTTTTTTAAAAATGGAGAACAGGGGCGCCTGGGTGACTCCATCGGCTGAGGGTCTGACTCTTAACTTCAGCTCAGGTCAAGATCTCAGACCCTGGGATCTGTCTGCCTCAGGCTCCGCACTCGCTGGGGGGTGGGGGGTCTACCTGAAGACTCTCTCCCTCTGCCCCCTCCCCCACCCCCAGTTACGCACGCGTTCTCTAGCTCTGGCGTGAATAAATAAAATCTTAAAAAAAAATAAAATAAAAATAAAATGAAAGTGGAGAACTGATTAGCAGTTGTGAGAGGTCAGGGAAGACGACAGCAAGAGGAGGCGGGCCTGGTTATCAAGAGGGTAGCCCGGGGGATGCCTGCGGTGCTGGGGACCGTTCTGTGGTCGTGGTGCAGAGAGCACACACGGGGTACAATTGCACAAAACATACATAAAGGACTACTGGCAAAAGTGGGGACATTTGTAGAAGCCTGACAGATTGCATCAACATCATGACAGTCTTGCTATTGCTATTGTACTACAGTTTTGCGAGATGTTACCACTGAGGGAAACGATACGGGATGCATTGGATCTTTCTGGATTTTTTCTTGTTTTCCGTAGGCTCCATGCCCAATGCAGGGCTTGAACTCATGACCCCAAGACCAAGAGTTGCCCACTCTACTGGCCGAGCCAGCCAGGTGCCCCTCCCTGGATTATTTCTTATAACTGCATGGGAATCTACAATTATTTGCAAATACCAGGTTTAATTTAAAAAACAAAAAACAAAAGTGAACCCCAGGGCGCCTGGGTGGCTCAGCTGGTTAAGCATCTGCCTTAGGCTCAGGTCATGATCCCGGGGTCCTGGGATCGAGCCCTGCACCACACTACCTGCTCAGCGGGGAGTCTGCTTCTCCCTCTCCCTCTGCCCCTCCCCTCTGCTCATGCTCTCTCTCTCTCTCTCTTTCTCTCAAATAAATAAATAAAATCTTAAAAAGTGAACCCCGAGGGGCGCCTGGGTGGCTCAGATGGTTAAGCGTCTGCCTTCGGCTCAGGTCATGATCCCAGGGTCCTGGGATCGAGCCCCACATCGGGCTCCTGGCTCAGCAGGGAGCCTGCTTCTCCCTCTCCCTCTGCTTCTCCCACTGCTCATGCTCTCTCTCTATATATATCTCTGTGTCTCAAATGAATAAATAAAATCTTTAAAAAAATAAAAATAAAAAAAGTGAACCCCGAGAGTGCTCACATCTCTTCGGGGGCCCCAGTGCCTCTGACCAGATCCTGAATTCCTCTCCTTCTCTGTTCTGTAGGTCACCAGCGATACCGAGTTGGAGACCTTGACCCAGAAGATGCTGGTGAGGGGGCATGCTTACTCCGTGACCGGCCTCCAGGACGTGAGTCTGCCAACCGCATGCTATCCTGAGCAAAGGAGCCCCGGGGAATCCCTCCTGCCTGAGGCCCCTGACCTTTGGCCACACCCCTCCCACCAGGTCTCGTACCAAGGCAGGACAGAGACCCTGATTCGGGTCCGGAATCCCTGGGGCCGGATCGAGTGGAACGGAGCCTGGAGTGACAAGTAAGCGCCCCTGACCAGCACTGTCCGGTGAGGGGCAGAGCGCCCAGCAGGCCCACGAGCGAGGCAGTGCCGCCCACCAGACTCTCCATCTAACTCGGGACCCTCACAGGCAGGGGCGAGGGAATCCCCTGGGGAGGACCAAAATGCCTCCTGAGCCCCGCCCCTCTCCCTCCACCGCCTGTCTCTGCTCCAGCGCCAGGGAGTGGGAAAACGTGGCACCCGACGTCCAGAAGCAGCTCCTGCTCAGGAAGGAGGACGGGGAGTTCTGGTCAGTGCAGCTCGGGGCAGGGAGGGGGGCGGGGGGCTTCCTCTGCCCCCATGCCCCGTCCCTTCCTTTCCTCGCCACCCTCGCGCCTGTGCCTTTGATGGAGAGGCTCCTGGGGGGTGGGGGGGGAGCTACGGGTGTGGGGATGCCGCAGGCTCCAGCCATCACCCCGCCCCTGCACCGCAGGATGTCCTACGAGGACTTCCTGGACAACTTCACGCTGCTGGAGATCTGCAACCTGACGCCCGATGCCCTCGCTGGGGACCACAAGAGCTACTGGCACCCCACCTTCTATGAGGGCAGCTGGAGGCGTGGCAGCAGTGCGGGGGGCTGCAGGAGCCACCTTGGTGGGTGACGAGACCCGGGGCCCACCGTGCAGGACGTCGGGGCCCCCCCCAGATCCCGCCGGCCCCGTCGAGGAGGCAGGCCCCCGGGCTGGGAAGCCCGTCCACCCCGGGGAAGGGCAGAGCCCTGCTGACCTGCTTCCTCCACAGACACGTTCTGGAGCAACCCCCAGTTTAGGATCTCTCTCCCCGAGGAGGACGACGACGATGACCCAGAGGACGACCAAGCCGTCTGCACCTGCCTGGTGGCCCTGATGCAGAAGAACTGGCGACGGGCGCGGCCCCAAGGAGCCCAGCTGCAGACCATTGGCTTTGTCATCTACATGGTGGGCACTCCAGCAGGTCCCCCAGCCAGCCTCTTGCTCCCCTGCCTGGCCTCACCCCTGCAACACCCTTCCGAAGGCCTTACGAATAGGAAGGCCTTCCAGGAAGAGGAAGGAGATGGAGCACCAGGGAGGTGGGGTTACTTGCCCAAGTTCACACACCCAAGGCTCAGAAACAGAGCCTGTGTCCTGATTCCCAGACGCTCTGAGACTTCTCCACACCATCCCCAAGTCTCCCCGCCCAGATACCCCCACACAGAGCACTGACTCCAGCAGCCAAGAGAAAGCCCTGGCAATGTTTCCAAAATCGTGCTTTGCAAAATCTTATAAATGACCATTTGTTCAAATAGTTACGGAGCCCCTGCTGTGTGCCAGGCCCCAGTCCACTCTCCACTGGGTCAGTAGTGAACAAACATAGACACAAGTCTTGCCCTCCTTCTAGGCTGTGAGCCCACCAGGTTAACAGACACCAGACATGCCTCAAGATATTTCCAAGGTTAGATGTGGTCCTTCAGGAAAGGTTATATTCTCTACTTCCCACCCTGAGCTCTGCAGGGCATCAACGTGTTAAAGGCTCTGGTTATCTCTAGAGGAGAACAACATATTTATCTTGGTCTACCCCACCTTTTTACAGAACTAATGGGTCTAACCCACTTGGTCTAACCCACCTTTTTTTTTTTTTTTTAAGAATTTATTTATTTTGGGCGCCTGGGTGGCTCAGTTGCTTAGGCGACTGCCTTCGGCTCAGGTCATGATCCTGGAGTCCCTGGATCTAGTCCCGCATCAGGCTCCCTGCTCAGCAGGGAGTCTGCTTCTCCCTCTCCCACTCCCCGTTTGTGTTCCCTCTCTCGCTG